CGCTATTTCCACTTTGTTCTGGTAAAATTCTTATTTAGACTGTAACGCCCAATACAGATGTTGCTACAGCCTCTGTTGATGAGGCCTGTACAACTTCTGTTAAGATGCCGGTTGAACAAGATGCTGTCTCTAATGCTGATTTGATTGAAAAGGACGGAAAAGGCATTGCAATTTTTTCACAATAGATGTTTAGGTTAAGATTGGCCAACACTTTTCAAATTTTAGAAAAAAGTATTGCCATGGACGCTGCTGAGACAACTGTTTCTCCTGCGATAGAAATGGCGCAGCAAGACAACATCTCTGCTGATGTCGAACAAACTGAAAAAGAGCAACCAGGTAAGAGCTTTAACTTCTGGGAAAAAAACAGAAATATATCGGGTTGCGACACATCAGGTGTTGCTATAATCAAAAATCTCGGGATGAGTTACCTTCTGCTGATTACGAAAATCTATCCATTATCTGGGTAGAGATTAATTGGGGATTACGGTAGAAAAACTTCAAATGTACAGGTTTGCTTGAAAAAGTGGAAAATTTGCGATAGGAACTTACTTAGGGAACACTGGTAATGAAGGAGTAGGCCAAATCATTTAGTCGGTTTGAAACAGAGATTGAACTATCCGATCTGATGTATACCTGCGAAGTCGTAGAATAATCGTTCGTTCAAATATCTGCGAAATCATTGAAGATGATTGAGATCGACTATTCACGTGCGAATGAAATATTCGAATAATTTGGTTATTTGCACATTCGGATAGTCGAACATTCGAAAAAAGGACCCCCTTTACTCGGATATCCGGATTCGAATGCATGTTAAATGTCAAATCCAATGTTATCCATTCGTTGAAACTTTTCCTTTTTTATCATGAACAAATAATCATCTTCGTTCATTCGGAAAAGCTATGTTTCAGCTATAGTGATAAGCATTCAAGTGACCCGTGGATTACAGTGTGAATCTGTGTTTTTCACTCTCTTATAGACTATCTAACGCTATAGTGTGGTTCTATCTTCAAATGAGCCATTTCGTCATGTCATGCCAATCAACTCCTTTGCGTATAGCATTACGCAAACTCGTGCTCTTAGAAAAGTGTATCTCAAACGTCCTTTCATTGTTTCAATGTCTTTAGAGTTGACTAGAATAAACTTACTGGGAGAACCAAATACCTCCTTGTAGAAAGGTCCTTCAAAGGTCCTTAAAGCTGCGGAACTCTTAATTTCCTTTTTTTGAATTAACAAAATTTTTGCACCAACTAACTCGCCAATCCACTAAAAAATCCAATGTTTTAATTTACTTTACTGACGCAGTCGCTGCATTCCGGAAAAATTATGTCGAGGTAGTTATACAGCAAAGCACACTTGACTGGCGATTTTTTAGGGTAATATACGCCAGGTGAACTTTGCATTTTTTTTAAATTGTAACTTTCTATATCTGTGCTTTTTCTTCCAATTCCGTCTATATTTATTCTGAAGCAACTTGGGTACAAAAAGAAGCAGTGAAGTGATGTATGGAGCCC